CCTCCCCTCCCCCGCCGCGGCCGGCACAGCCAATCCCCCCAGCGGCCGCCAACATGCTCTTTGAGGGCTTGGAGCTGGTGTCGGCGCTGGCCACCCTCGCCGCGTGCCTGGTGTCGGTGACGCTGCTGCTGGCCGTGTCGCAGCAGCTGTGGCAGCTGCGCTGGGCTGCCACCCGCGACAAGAGCTGCAAGCTGCCCATCCCCAAGGGCTCCATGGGCTTCCCGCTCATCGGAGAGACCGGCCACTGGCTGCTCCAGGTAAGGGTGCACTCGCTCCGCTGCTCTCCGGGGTCCGCTAGCGGCGAGCGCGGGGCTGACGGTGCGGCGGGCCGGCCAGGGGGCGCCGGGAGCCTGAAGGCACGGGTCCCCGCCACGCCCCTTCCCTCCTATCTCCCTGCGCCTCCAGGGCTTCCCTTGCCCGCCCGCGGCGCGGTTCAGAGCCCACTGGCGCAGGGTGCGCAGGTTCAGGGAGCTGATCCGAGAGGTCCCCGGACCTGAGAGGGCTCCCAAGACAGACTCTTTGCAGTCGCAGGCTACTCAGCAGAGGTGCGTGGGGCGTCCGCTTTCGCCTCCCCTTTGCCCTCCAGGCCCCAGTCTCCGTTGGCTTCCTGGGCTTTGGTGGCGTCATTAGACCCGAAAATTGAGTCGGGGAGAGGAGCAGGGGGCCAGAGGCAGCCAGAGCTGCCTATTAAAGACCCGGGCTGTGTTCCTGCCGCGCCGTCGGCTGCTCCAGGTACAACTACCCTGGGCGACGGTCCGAGAAAGTGTGTGTTTTGTGGTGGGAGAGGAAGGAGGTAACCCAAGGAAAATGAGAAGCCTGAGACCCGAGGGTTCTTTGCTTTCGGGGAAAAGGGTCTGTTTACTTATTGGGTGAGGACCGCGTAGCAGGGGAGAGAAACTCGGGAGAGGTGTGCGAGAGACCCATGGAGTGCGTGTGTACTTGTTGCTGCGCGCCGCACAGCCCAGCACTGCTGGTGATAATGGGGGTGGGCGCGTCGGAAACCGGACCCAGGTAGGTAATGGGGAGATTAACCTGGAATTAAACTCGTCAAGTGCTAGAAATCTCTTTTGCGATTTGATCCACACCAGGTTTTTTCTTGGGGCGGGGGGCCCTTCTGGGTTTCCCACTGGAGGCGTGTTGTGTGCGCGCACGCAGGAGTGTGTGTCCGGCGGATTCTGCTGAGGGTTAGGAGAGGCACGAAGGTCCTGAAACGGACAACCCCGGCGGGGAGAGGTGAGGCGCGAGCTGAGCGCCGAGACCTGTGGATTTAGAAGTGAGAAAGCTTGGCTTGAAATGAACAGACGCGTGCAATCCGCGCTCACACACTTACACCCCGCTGGGCGCCAAGTGTCAGCGGATCCCGGGCGGGGAGGGGGACGCTGTGGTCTCCCCAAAATCCCGGAATCATCCCATTTCTTTGGGGGGCTGTTCGTGCAACGGGGTGGGGTTCACTTTAACCAATGAGTCTACCCCCCCTCCATAAAGAAATCCCCAGAGCATATCCCGTGCCACCACGCTTAAAGGGTTAACTGCAGCGGTGGTCTAGGCTTTTGGCCGAGAATTTAGGAAATAAAATAACTCACATGGGCATCGGTTCCTGCCTCGTTAGAGTCAATCTGCGGAATCCGCGGTCTGTCACCGCCCCCCACCCGTTTCCTGACCTCTCTCTGCCCCCCAAAGTCCCCCTGACCTTTTCTCTGAATCCCACAAAGGCCCTTGGGGTTCAGCGTCCAACCAGCGAAGAAAATGGGGAGGAGGAAGCAGGCCTACGCCTCTCCATCCATTTGCCCTTGGGGCCCTAAACTCCGAGGTGGGAGGGAACCG